TAAATCACCAACATTCAAGTTATTCTCAGACCTTGCAGTATTTAAAGTAAACTAAGTGGACAAATCTTTTATCAAATTTCATACGAATGTCATCTGATGTACTGTAGAACTGTGACAAACCTATGAGACATTTTCATAATTTTCAACCCCCTAATTAATAATTTATCTGTTATTTATATGTTATATGTTATTTTTGCAGGTCAAGTGAGAAACGTGAAAACATTGAATGAGCTAAGATAAATGGATCACATGGCAGATGATGGACTTTATAATAATATGTTTTCTAAAACTGAAGATCTTAATAATCAAACGATGATACATTCTGACAAAAACTTGCACCATTGTACACAGTGTGGTAAAAATTTTGACCAAAGAAGTAATTTGATTAAACATATGAGGACACACAATGCTGCAAGACCGCATCAGTGTGTGCTGTGCGGGAAACGTTTCACTCAAAACTGCAATCTGCAATTACACTTGAAAACTCATACCGGGGAGAAACCGTATCAGTGTTTGCTGTGCGGGAAGGGTTTTATCCAAAAAACAAGTCTGAACTACCACATCAGTACACACACTGGTGTGAAGCCATATGCATGTGAAGTATGCGAGAAAAATTTCATTCAAAGGAGTGATCTGACTAAACACATGCGTGTCCATACTGGTTTGAAGCCGTATAAATGTCCACACTGTGAGAAGGGGTTCAACCAAAAAAGCAATCTGACAGATCATCTGAGGACGCATACTGCTGAGAAGCCTTACCATTGTGATCAGTGTGGAAAGACTTTTACCCAAAACAGTCAACTGCAAATTCATAAGCGATCTCATGCTGGTGCCAAACCGTATCATTGTACGCAATGTGAAAGGAGCTTCAATCTACGGACAAGCCTAATATACCATATGAGTACACACGCTGGTTTGAAATCGTATAGATGTGATTTGTGCAATGTGAATTTCACTCAAAAGAGTGACCTGACAAAGCACGTAAGAACACATATGGATGTAAAGCCATATACGTCTCCACATTGTGGGATAGAGTTCAACCAATTAAACAATCTGAAGGAGGATATGAAAACACATGCTGCCAAGAAAGCATTTCAATGTGACCAGTGTGGGAAAAGTTTTACTCGGAAAGGTAATCTACAAATTCACATGCGGATGCATACTGGGGAGGCGCCGTTCATTTTCCAGCATTGTGACAAGAGTTTTAACCAAAAAAATAGTCTTGTGTATCATATGAGTACACATACTGGATTGAAACCATTTGAATGTCATCTGTGTGAGAAAAAGTTCATCCAGAAATGTGATCTGATAAAACACGAGAGAACACACACTAATCAGAAACTATATCAGTGTACGCAGTGCGAGAAAAGCTTCGTCCAACGAAATAATCTGGTATACCACATGAGTATGCACACTGGTGTGAAGCCATATGAATGTGATCAGTGCGAAATGAACTTCGTCCAGAAAAGTGATTTGACGAAACACAAGAGAGCACATGCCAATCGCAATGTGTATCAGTGTACACTGTGTGAGAAAAGCTACAGCCAAAGGAATAATCTGGTTTATCACATGAGCACGCATACCGGTTTGAGACCATATAAATGCAATCAGTGCACAAAAGGCTTTATCCAAAGGAGTGATCTGACAAAACACATGAAAACACATGCTAAACTGTATCAGTCTGCACCGTGTAGGAAGAAATTCACACAAAAGACTGATCTGTCATTTCACATGAGTAGCCATATGGATGTGCAGTCCTATGAACATGATCAATGCGTGGAAAATTTCACACAAGACAGTGACATGTCGAAACAAATGAAAACACATGCTATTAAGAAACCCTACCAGTGTACGTTGTGTGAAAAAAGCTACAACCAAAAGACTAATCTGGTATACCACATGAGTACTCACACTGGGGTGAAACCCTATGAATGCGATCAGTGCTCAAAAAACTTCATCCAAAGGAGTGATCTGACAAAACACATGAGAACACACACTAACTCAAAGCCATATGAATGTAATCAGTGCTCAAGTAGTTTCATCAAAAAGTGTGATCTGACAAAACACATAAAAACGCATGCTGTTCAAAAAGTATATCAATGTATAATGTGTGAAAATAGCTTCATCGAAAAATCTGATCTGGTATCTCACATGTCAACACATACACAAGAGAAGGCATGTCAGTGTGACATGCTTGATAATATTTCTCAGGAGAATGGTCTTGCAAACCAGAGTGGTAATATTCCATTTATCGATCCCTATCAACATATTCATATTAAAACTGAAAATAATCTGACAAGTCATAATACACAAAGTCATACAAAATATCAAGGTAATCAACGTGGAAGGAATTATATCCGGAATATTAATCTGATTTATCACCCGAGGACACCAGGGAATGAGGAACCATATTGTGTAAACGATGTTAGCAACGGAGGTGGTCTGAAGTTGCAGGCACATGTTTCTGAGCAACCACATCAACAGGAAGAATCAAAAAACAATTTTATGCAAAAAAGTAGTTTGCAAGTGCTGCCGATGACACGTGCAAGACAAAAGCCATACCAGTGCACAATGTGTGAGAAAAGCTTTATCCAGAAAACAGGTTTGACATATCACATGAGTTCGCATACTGGTGTGCGGCCATATGGATGCGATTGGTGTGAGAAAAGTTTTATCCAAAAAAGTGATCAGACTAAACACATGAGAACTCATACGGGTGTCAAAGCACATCAATGCGAATATTGTGAGAAGTGTTTTGCAAACAAAGATAATTTGACAACGCACGTAACGCATGTACACACTGCCGAGAAGCCGCATCAATGCACACATTGCCTAAAGAGATTTAGCCAAAGAGGCAATCTTCAAATCCACCTGCTGACACATACAGGGCAGAAACCTTACCAATGTATGCAGTGCGAGAAAGGTTTTACGCAGAAAACAGGTCTGAAGTATCACATGAGTACACATACTGGTTTCAGGCCATTCGGTTGCAATGTGTGCAAGAAAACTTTCATCCAAAGAAGTGATCTGACAAAACACATGAGAATACATACTGGTTTGAAGCCATATAAATGCCCACATTGTGGAAAAGGGTTCAATCAAAAAAGTAATCTGACTGACCATTTGAGGACGCATGCAGATACAGCAGAGATGTTTTCTACTGTGGAGAAACATTTTTTTTTTACTAATTTGTAGGAGAATGTTGATCTTAACAAGTAATCTACAATAACATTGCATACAATGTGATGCCAAGAAGTGTGACATTTTTGTGTAGGGATGTAATCTGATGAATGCATAAAGATAATCTGACAAACAAACAAACATGCATAATTACACATTATGTAGCATCGAAAAACAATACAATTTACTGTGAAAATCTACATTTGTTCAAAAATAATATCTGCACTTGTTTGAATATGCAAATTTTTTCGATATTTCGGGTAAACTTACCTCACCAATATTGGCACTTTCAAGATTATCGATGTTGAACACTTTCTTTTGTTCATGTCCATATCATGCTCGGAAATGCTTTGGAGCAGGTTGAAAGTTGAATCCCGTCACAACAAATGTTTTGCATTGTCAATTTGGATTTAAATTATTACTTCAAACAGGAAGAGCGTGTTTATTTGATATATTTAGGTTATCACAAGAGTACTGCAAAGTATGTACTAAGGCAGTACTGGATCGCATCGACCTCTGTTACATGTTAGTCGATATGATTGATGTGCTGCCACATGCATATTGTGAGGTGTTCTCATGGTAACCTTTTACGTACTGTAGAATACTTTATTTTCGCTTGGAATTTATTTTCGCTGAAGGGATGATTCTGTGAAAATAAAATCCAGGGAATATACTTTTTTTCCTATATTTCACATTAAACTCATCAAAAAGCAGTGAAAATAAATTCCATACAAAATGCCCAAAAAGCCTTTTCAGCGAAAATTAATTACAGCAAAAATAAAGTATTCCACAGTATATTAAAGGCCAATTCACTTGCCTTGGGCAAGTATGAGTTGGAGGTGTGACTATGCTAATGAGTGTTGTTAATCACTTGCATAGCCTATGACACATCCTGTTTCAGCGGTCCAACATCACGTGACTTTGATTGACAGTAGTTAGTTATTCAATATTAGTAGCGAACCCCTTTCGTGTTTTTGACTTTTATCCGCCAAAATCTCAGCTCAAACACTATTTATTTATTGTACGCTATTTATTTATAGCGTATTTATAGTATACCTGGGCCTTTAATGAGAAAAAGTATGAATGTGCATAATAGAAAAAATCATGACAAATTTAATAATTTTTTTTCTTAAACATGCTTGGAAACAAGGGTGTTTTCTGATGATCCATATTTTTGATTTGTATTTGTTTGAAAAAATGTGTATTATTGTTTTATTGATTTAAATGTTTAGAATTTATGGTTATGTTTCATAAACTATGTATATGGTTGCACAGGGTTAATGATTCGTTACGCTTTAAATCTGTTTATATTATTACTTAATTTGTTTAACAGATGGATGAGGCTTTCTGTGCATATTTATTACCTAATTTGCATAATAACTAGCTCAATTTTGAGAGCTTCTGGGCATATTTAAAAATTCAGGTTTTGCTACATTGTGGTTTATAGACCGCATTATTTTTGTAGAAGTTTATGGGAATTAATCTACTTGTACATTATATTCATACCCTGTTTGAATCTCTTGTCTCATTAATCACTGCTTGCTTTCAAGGAAAATACCATCCAAGATTTGGATTAACCTAAATGGGCATAAGGTGCATTTTTGTCAGTTTTTAAAAAAAAAAAATTGTTATTCAATATGTGTAATGTTCAGACTAAATTATATGTTTGGTACTATCGGTAAATTACCAGAATATTCCTGATACAGCGCTTGTAGTAGCATGCAAATAGCTGGAAAATTAATTTGTTGGCTCACTCGAAAATAATTTTCCAACTATTAAGGTGCTGTTTGCATACTGTATCATGAATATCCTTGAATTTTACCCTATGAATATTTAATTAGTATTCATTTTAATTTTGTTTAGTATTACACAGATTATGTAATTCAAATTAATTAAGGTGGAAATGTGTCTCTTGCCTTTTAAAGTTTAACAATCTGCTTTACTTAATTATCTTATTTGCATAATGGAGTAATCGGCTAATTCTAATTATTTTTTAATTACTGTATCTTTTTATATTTCCAATATCTACATTCGCAATTTGTTGTACTTGTTTTCTCTCAGCTTTTTTATATCATTACTTTTTTTTTTAATTCAGTGTACCGGTAATTATGTTTCAAAGAATATGTACGAAAACTAGGTGTTTTTGATATCTATAAATTTGGTGTATTATATAATAGAATAGTTGTTAAAATCAGTTAATGGTTTGTGATATGTCATTGCATGCATATGTGTGTTGATTGTGACTTCTATTACGTCCAGTCAATTTTTGTCACCATTCTCAGTCAAATTTAAAATCCCCAAAATAATTTCAGAATTTTTCTACAATTTGATTCAAGATTTATAGCCAATAAGAGATTAAGATAAATAAATAAAAAATAAATAAAAAATTGACAAAATATTTACACTAAAATGTTGACACTCAAAGGGTTAATGTTTTCAAGCAATTTTATTGTGTTCTTTGCTCTAATTTTGCTTACAATTAATTAATTAATTAATGCTTACACTTGAATTATGAGTCATACCGTATTTGTCTCTATTAATATTGATCAACAGCTTTGTGAGATTAGGGCTCTTAGAAACAAAAGGCATTTCTGAATGCCATGTGTTCTCAGAAAGTTTGGTTTGTTTATGAAAGCCACTGGGTGTGGCAAATTTATTGTAAAAGCAAATATTAAAATGAATAATAATAAATAAAATTAATAGTAATAATAATAAAAATTAATAATTATAAAAAAAAGATATATTAAAATAAAATTGAAAAAATTAAGCCAACCAGAATCTTATTTTAATCAGATTGGTTTTATACAAGCCTGAAGTATTTATGTAAAATTAAATTCGTTTTTAAAAATAACTGCTGCAGGTTTGGACACGAGCTCTCGATTATTTTCATAAACGTGAAATATTGGCCACAAGGCGTGGTTACATGGCACAGTCAACTGGTGTATCACGTATACGTGATAATCAAATACATGCGACTAATCAAACAATGATTACTGTAGTACCCCTTCTCCCGGTAGTAAAAGTAAATGTCATGTAACAGCGCCATCTACGACAGGACGTTCGTCACGACTTTTAACCTTTATTGTTATGGCGGCGTTCTTGTAAACTGTGAGTAGTGAGGTCATTCTCCTTCCGAATAGGACTTTACGTGAGAGATTGCTGTGTTATGGTATGATTTTCTTGCCATCACTAGATAGAGGTGAGTTTCACAGTTATTATTTACCTCCCCAGGTATGACTGTGCTCTGAGTAACGCAGGTTTTCCGTTCACAATAATACCTTAACTCTCACTGCCGTACCTCCTCAATGACCTGACTATCTATTCGTGTGGTTGGTTTTAGAAGTCAATACATAGACGTCTATGACTAGGAATGACTATGTATGCCTTGCTCAAAATTATAGAATTAAAACAGCTTGGCAATGTCATCCAAATAAATAAAATGTTAGGCTCCCGTGGTAGCTCATTACAGCTGCCTGCTCCTGGTTTCAATGCAGATTTTTTTTCAATCGCCGGTGCTTATATCAGTTCTGTGGAGGGTCAGTTGTTACAGTCGGCTTGCAGGCGATCGATCGAAGAAGGTCCCCATGGAAGCTCTGAGGATCTCATTGGATATCCCGCGATGTGGAAACAATATAAAAATACACAGCGTAATCAACGCTTCAGGGAACTTCACTGAGTTACTGTAAAATATTGCTTGGAATTTATTTTTGCTGAAGGGGTAATTCAGTGAAAATAATATCGAGGGAAATATATCGTTTTTCCTATATTTTACATTTAACTCATCAAAAATCAGTGAAAATAAATTCCATGCAGCATCCAAAAAGTCTTTTCAGCAAAAATTAATAAATGATATATTTGGAATCAGAAGAGATTTTTTTTTATGTAGATTTTTTTTTAAATCTGCCTCAACCACTTATATAACTCTACAATATGTTGTAGAGATCATTCTGCAATGTGTCTGATATGATTCATATCAATACATTCAGATATACTATGATCGAACTCAGATATAATATGATTCACAGTCAATTCATCCCAATTCAAATTTGTCCCACAAGTCTATTTGTTTCAATTCACATTCGCTCCATTTTTGTTTGGTAAGCATTACAATCTTGGACAGGGTGATGTCGATTTCTATATTTGTGTGCAAGGAGTTGAAATAGAAGTACAGTGTGTGCTACGTGTATGTCTAGTCGGTTTTGGGTTTGGCTAACTGTTACTGACATGCTTGCTATATACCACGAAATATAACTACCCAGCACCACCATACCATACACCACTGTATTAATTTATTAACTAATACATTGACTTGTGAGGCGAATAGATTTTGGGACGAATCAAGTTATGGGAAGAATCGAGTTTGGAAAAATCTACCGTCCTCCATTCATATAGTATCTATTTCATCTTCACTTACACAAATTATCCCAAAGAGATTCGTTGTCAATCGTTGTTGACCTAGCATATGTAAAATCTAGATAAATCATACATGTGTGAGCTACACACTAGTATTCAGTAATTAAAGGGTAGTTCAATAATTTAAAGCATCATTCAAATTTAGTTTTTTGTTAGTGTTCATTTCTCTATACCTAAGCAATGCATGTGCTTTTTAGCACATTAGCGACATCCATGGGCACCTGTTTACATTGATGTGATCAATATTTCTGTAAAATTACGATCTTTAGTGTAATACTCCACCACCAATAATATGAGGTTATTATGAGGACACTGAAAAGTATGTACGAAGACAGTACAACGTAACAAGAGTATCGACCGACAAGCAGCGGTGGTTGATCTGTCGGCGTACTGTCTGAGTGCATACTTTGCGGTATCCTCGTACCCATAAAATCTGTATTAGAAGCCGCATCCCTAATAGAAGTCACACCCATTCTTTTTGTACAATTGAGAACCAAAAATTCATCATTTCTCGTACATGTATGTGTAGATGCTCTAATAGAAGCCGCATCCCCTCTGTTGCATTGTACCATTTTAATAGAAGCTACAGCTTCTAATACAGATTTTACAGTAATAGCCTTATTATTATACATCTTTTCCTCCCAAGGATATGTCTTGGGAATGCTGAAATCTTAATTCACATTGCTTAATATGGTAGGATGAACATACCCCATGCAATACTGCAAATTTACGGCACGCTGTTACTTATGCCGTTAGGATGATAGATGTATAATAATATATTGTTTTACTTGTATATTAATCCTAAATCTGCTTAAGGTGGCGCTGCACCATGATTTATAGGAGTTTTAAACAATAAATTACACTACTAACAAATACGTTAATTTTGTCATGTTATATTCCATATGAAAGCTTATTTTGCCAGCTTTTCAACAGTATGATGCATTTTTTTGTGGTATAGAAAATGGGTTGAAAATGTCTGTTTTTGGTTAAATTTTGTTTAAAACTATTTAACTTCTGAATGCATAGGTTTATAGAGTGGCAGTTTGACTTGTTTAAAACATATATTCACTAGATTTATAGAACAAAAGCTTGTAGTATTTTCATTGAAGTCAAAAATGAAGTTGAGATAATCGCCATTTTGTTCAAATTTATGCGAAACTACGAATGTCACTTCGCGTACCTTGTGGACACTGTCGAAACACTACGAAAAGATTGAGTACCACAACTGGAACAATATTGTTTTTAAAAAATAAAAAATCTGCGCAAATCTATTTGTGTGAGCGTTTTTGTTCTACAAAACGCGGAGTTGGTGAAACTGTCCTCGTGAGCCAAGCTTCTGATGTCCCGCTATGTTTATAAAGTCAACAATGGGTGGAGCTTGTATGCACATGTATGTAAATTACCGATCAGCTGATTGTTTATATATCCGACTCGCAAGGGGCCTAAGGTTAAATCCAACTCGCAGATGTCATAATAAAAATAAAATAACGTCAATAGACTATGTCAAAGTATGCTATGGATCACAATAGTATTGTCTCTGTAATTTCTGGAAAAAATGTTTTTATTGGTACTTTTCTGAAAGCTGACAGAAATTCTTGTTCGGCCGTCTCCTCGCTATTTGAAGCCAAAATGGCGGTGTGGTTTTTGTATGGGGGAGTGGAAATTGGTGGCGGAAGTCCAACGAAACTTGACAATTTGATGAGTGCCTGTCTTCCTTTGCCCATTGCATGCATTCTCATAATTTTCTTTCTCTTAATCTCCACAGCTTGATGTTCAAACATCTTAATTCGAAAAAGCTTCCCCCGCCTTGTCATGTTTTTTCATGCAGGGTCAAAGTTCCTTTCCCACAGAGTGCACAGGTTGTGACTTTCTCCAAGCATTCGTTCAGGGACATTACAATGTAGGTCGATTATTCTCAGGACTTCAAAATCTTCTTCCATTATATTGTCATTATGGCCCACTTTTTTGTCGAGGCATCTGTTTTTTCTGTTGTACAGATGTATGATCCTGTGTCTGTTTCATACTTAGAGACGGACTCTGTCGGGGAGCTGTCACTTTCGGTACACTATGCACTAAAAATCACGTCTTCTCTTTGGTTATGATAGGAACCACGGTCTGATTCCTTCGGTAACATTCTTTTTTCCTCTAACATAGTGTTAGTCTTTCTTTTTCCTGACTTCTTCTGCTGTTTACTCCATGTGGCATTGTTGTATATACTAAATAAAGCTGATGTGTTGCATAGGAACGGCGTTTGGGAAACCATGGAGGTAACTCCATGGTGAAAGAAGTACACAGAAAACGAAACTAGTCTTCCCAAAACATGATTTGCATACTACTGTTAAGCTCCAGCGATCAATCAACATTAATTAAATAAGGTTTATGCAAATTAAACAGTTAAACTAGACCGTGGCACATGTGTTTGTTTTTAATAAAAGTGAAATTCCACCTCTAAATGCATTTTTCCCTTAATTCAGATAACTGAGATAAGGTATATCATCCGAAACACCTGGATATTAAATTATTGCCAATGACTATGATTACATCTACCTACTGTAATATTCTTTATATAATATTTATTGATCTTAGCAGCTCCAATTTTAAAACTTAAAAACACTAAATGATTGTTGAAAGGTAACAATGATGACGATCTTCTTGTATATTTCAGGGATAGTATAAAGACACGACACTGGTTTCTCAATGTAATACTAGCCTGCATCTTTACTTTCATCATGCGTGTGGAAATCATTACTACCAGTGTAGCCACAACTCAACCTGAAGCAACTGTAACTGTGTCATTTCCATCAAAGAAGGAAAGAGATGCACATAAACACAATGAAGAATATGTTAAAGAATTTTCTTGGGAAGAGCATGTACGATTGGAACACTCTCCAAAAACACTTACTACAAATGTTTCTAGTGACTCATCAGAAGCTAATTTTGAACCTGTGAGAAAGTTTGCCAAGGTTGATGAGAGTTCCTCATCCAAAGGATTTAGTGTTCAATCTCAACTTCCCTGGAATGACATGCATCAGAAAAATCCATCTTGTTTTTGGATCACGGATCTCCAGGATTTACACTCTATTGTAGCTGGTGCAGCGTCCCATCAAATGAAGGTTATTGTCATGAATGTTCCACAGCAAACACCATGGAATACATCCAAGCCACCAAAGAATGGTGATGAAAGCAATGACAGTCGTGAGTCATCTGCCTGTGTGTATAAAGTAATCATATGTCCTAAATCATTCACCGTAGCAGATATACCAGATACTGAGCTTAATAAGGTACCAGTAGCTAAGGTGAGGGATCCCATGATGTATAATAGAATCACTTGTGAAGGAAATTATAAGTCAATTCATCCAATATTAGATAAAACGTCTGCTCAATCAGCTCAAGTACTGTCTGGATCAGTCTTACCCAGTGCATCCTCAACTTGTATCTTATCAACCCCGAGTACATTTACAGAATCAATGGTGCCAGTGCAACAACAGATAATATCCTTGCAAGGTCAGTCTGGTCTTACACCAGGGATATCTCTACACGGCCAGCCTGTGGATATGTCTGAATTAATGCAGCATACAGATCAAACTGTCCCTAGTACGGTAACACAGAATGTAGTAATGAATATACAGGGCAAGGATTTTTTATTGATTCCAGCTCAGCAAGGCACTGTGCATCCTGCAGTCACAACTACATGTATATCTTCAAGCACAGTGTCTCCCATAGTGTCAACTGGAGAAAAAACATATCTTCGGCCAAAACCAACATTGAAAAAAGCAGAACAAGAAAGCAGTTGGTCTCAAAGAGCCAGATCTAAATATTTGAAACCAGCTGCTAAAACATTATTTCGCACAAAGAAAAAATCTGTCTTTGAAAAAGTAACAAATATACCTGCTCCTCTAGGTAATGCTGGTAAATTGAGACATCAGTCACCAGATTCAACTGTGGACTGTGTATCTGCTCGATATACAGCTTCTGCAAATGTATTTCACAGTGTTCCAGCATCTACCAGTGCAACAGTCACACCAGCTATAACAAAACGGGGATGTTTGTCAAATTCAGCCGAACAGAGTCAAACAGTTCTGCTCTCTCATCAGACGTCTGTGGATCAAACAACTGAGGGTGCAGAAATAACAAACCTGCATACAAATTCAATGTCCAGTCCATTTGAGATAAAGAAAGAAAAACCAAGTCCTGACAAAGCTATAACTGTTTATAGTGATAGTTCATCAGAAATTAATTCTCCAACTGCAGTTGCCTGCACTGAGAGAGGTACCGACGCTGACACGGACAACCAAACCACATGGGTTGTGGTTAATGTTGATGGTTGTAATGTCATTTCTCAGCAAAAACATACAGATCAAAATAAAATGCCTGGCACTAGTGTCGAAAGTACTAACCTTGAGGGCTCTCCTGTGTCAGGTATTAACAGTGAGGCCTCCCCATCAGCTCCAGTTAAGGAATCTACAACAGCTATTGGTTCCCGGTCATCAGTTTCAAAGCCTGCCAAGTCAGATGTGATTGGTGGATCAAAAAACTCAAGTCGCAAAACATCCACACCTGTTCGGTTTCTCCGTATTAAAACTGAACCAGAATAAGTACAAAATTAAGTTGTGATGCGATGCGACAAATTAGCTTAGAGAGTGTATGGAACCCTACTGTTGGTGTGGCCAATTTAGCTGGTTTGTGACCATTTGTTGGTTTAAGGAAACAATGATGCACAATCTGAGCTAGAATTGTGTTTAAAAATATTTTTAAAAAGAAATAATATCATAGAGATTGAGTATGCATGTTCAAATTTATGATTTATATTAAGCCCCTTCACCTTTTCCTGTACATGTACTGGCATAATTCTATGACTAGGCTAACATGTGCTCCAGACAGCCTTTATTTATAAAGACGGACAAAGTTCAGATGACAATCATCCAAGGAGTCCAGCTTCAATCGAATTATTAATTAGAACGTCGGGATTGTGCAACAGACATAACAAAAGAAACTAGTACATGTAAATAAAACATACAAATTACATGCATTTTGTGTAGTTTGTAGTACATATTAGACTTCTGCTGTTTGTGAATTGGTGAATATGAATTTACGTTATGTAAGATTGTTCAAAATAAATGTTACCAGGTTTGTATTGAAATTGACTATTGTTGAATGATAAGTCTTGTTTTGAGATGAACTAAATATTAAATCTAGAATGGTGCTTGGTAATAAACTAATATATAATTATTCACTGAAATGGACACACCATCTTTTAAGAACTTGGAGCATTTGTGGGTGGACATTTGTAACAATGTCAAAGTTAATGTTGGGTTATCCGTAAGAAAGGTCAGATTATTCAAGAGAACAACTGACTTTCATACAAGATGTGAGAAAATACACCTTTAAGAGGTGGTCACATGTTTCCTCCTCAATCTATGATACGTCTCGTCAATGTCAAGTGTTTTCACGAGATTGAAATTGTATCTCAGCCAGCCAAGTTTCGTTTATACGTCTTCCCCTTACCATAGGGACGACCTCTGCGGCACAATGCGAATCGTCGATTGAAACGGAAATGTACATGAACTTGGTTATTGTGTCAAGTGTAACATAAATGAACTTGAAATTCCCAAAATCAATCATGCTTCTGGTCGGAAAATTCGATGGTGCAGGTCGTACTATATCATCATCAATGTACAATCTCAAACTTGCACATGTAATGGTTTTGAAGTTTACAGCCATTCTCGGGTTTGGGTGCCCAGTAGTTGGAAATAAATTTAACCAAGTGTTACGATTGTAAAACCCACAGTGGTGGTTGTGGGCATCATTTAGATCGACGTAAACAATGCATCATGGACAATTTAATCCAAGCAATTTAATTCTGCAGTTGAACACCAAGGGATGTAGAATAGGATATTTTATTTGGCAAGTTGGCGGTAGGGGAGTACGCAAAAAAGTTTTTTTTTTCAATAAGAGCACGGGAAAGATGAATTTGGTCAGCAGCCTGAGGAGGGAAAGACAATTTTTTTCAGGTAGAGGGTAGCTTATGAACAGCTTTTAATTTCATCTCTTTCCGTTATATTAATTAGCATATTTCAAAAGGCCCATAGAATAAATTTTGCTCCAGAGAATTGAATATTTAAATTTATTCCTCGTTGGCTGCTCCTGTTGTATGGCTTTCGTGTAACCTATTTACGCATAGAGGTGCTTTCACACTAGAAGGCGTGATGCATAGTGTATAACTGTTATATTGGTATCTCTCGCTATTTCTTCCGAAATAAAGGACTGTTACCCACCGGCGGATCAAGAAATTCGATAAGGGGGCGCTCCTATTGACGTGGCCGAAGTAAACCTCCGGTGGGCTGGGTTTGTCAATTGATTTGTCAGTTTTGTTTGCAAGCTTGACTAAATAATAAACAAGAGACGTATTGCAAGTATGATTCAAATTCAAACTGTATTGCAGAAAAAATACGTAAGACAGCACTTCTAATAAATTACAACTTATGTAAATATTATTAACAATAGTGTAAATATACGACAATGATTTGAATTATAAGTTACACTATAACGATTATAATAGATTATATGCCGTGTTTTGATGTGCTGTATCAACACCAATGCGTGTACAAGAGTCATCTTGACTTGTTAGAATTAAATTCGACATATGTATATGTCAGTGAAGTTGAGGAAGTTGTTTCAGTTAGATGGTATTATTTCCAGAATTCGAATGAAACAAAGTGCGTACGTAGATGTTTCGGCAATGAAATCTTTAGATCACGTGGAGTGCTAAATGTCAATTTCAACAATGGTGTGCATTAGACAATACCCTTTGTAAGTTAAACTATCATACGTTTATAACATTCTGTTCAATCTCTCTGTTGGTATGGACTTGTATTGTGGTATTAATCCCTTGTTTGCATGTTTTACACACACTGCGTAATATGGCCGTCTCATTACGATCCTCACCAACTGCACATCGGCATTTAACATTCTCATCCCGTAAACATTCGTGTTATGTGAGAGTCATCACATTGACTGAATGTTGTCTAGACTGGCCCCCAGTTGAAATGTTTGTTTATTCTACTAAAATAAGCGAACATTGGAACATAGGAAAAATGTGACGTAATTGCGAAATGGATGCGTGCAACATCGTATCGCAATAAATATTTATTAAAAAATTGTAAGTGTTACTGATTTAAATTAAAAAAAAATCTCTCGTGTAAATATCCCAGTCTTAATGTAGTCGTCCTAATAGTATGTTATCATGTCATGGGATGTTGAAATATTCTAGTAACAAGTTTCTTTTGTCGATTTGTTTGTTTGTTTGTAGTACTCTAATAATGAAAACTCAACGGTGATTCATTTACTTAAATATGAGTGCGATATTTCGTTAGACAATTATCGGTTCTCAGAACTAGATAACTTTTGTACAAGTTTCATCGACTTTCAATTTCTTGTTACATCTTACAAGTACAATACGTTTTATTCTATCGCGACTATGAATATTGATAAACATTATGTTCTCGTGGAATAGACTTTTTGCAGCTATCAGTGCATGTGGCATTTTCGTCAGAGTACATCATCAAATCCGCCATCTTGTTCATTCTAGTTTGTAACAAATCATGTTCTACCCTTCACATGACTCATTTACTTTCTTTAGAATGTGTATTGTGTTTGTGTACGTAACCTAACTAACACAGTACAACTGACAGACATTCGTAAAAGTATTCTTGTTTTTTTTTCCAAAATAGTTAAAACGATACATTATACGTAACAGACGGTAGAATAGTCGTGATTGTGAAAAAACGGGGCTGACGTAGATTGCATTTTCACAATAGTTATTTCACATTTTTGCTATGTTGAATCGCCTATTTTTATTTTTCCAAAAAAAGAAGAAAACATCAGTAACTCTATACAATTGCTGAATATTACATACTTTCACACGTCCCCGCCAGCAGGGTAAGCAAGACACGAAAGTTTGTTGCTGTTCTATTTTAACATCATTGCCAATATTTACACCTTCATAGCCCTAATGACCGATGCCACTTTTAACATGAACATGAACTGAAAATGGTTAATAAATACACACACATATATATAATCGTTGGTTGTCGATCTGTTTTCACTCGTATGTGATAACTCCCACTGACAAAGTGATTAGCACTTTACTTTAGTGTGGTTTTGTTCTGCCGGGTAGTGGCGGCAGTCGACTGGGTAAGTGTCTAGTTTGGGGAAGATGAATACGTAATTGTTGACCCGCGTCATATATCGACTGTTCGTTGCTGTCTGTCACTCCACAGGGTGCTCTAGTGTCGGGTTCCTTGTGTCGAACATAATCCCTGCTGTCTATGTGTTTATGATCCGTCCACATATCAGGAGCCAACCTGTCATGGTCATCGTTGACATCATTCCCGCTAATATGCCACGGACCCAAATGGCCTCCTTGGTGGCGTTTCGCTCCATGCGATTCAGTGCCGGCTCTCTTTACCTTTGTTCCTCGTCTGTGTTGTTCACGTTCCTTCTTGCTATGCCCATGTGCTTCAGCATCACGCGCCTCTGACATTTCATTACTGTCTGATGCCACGTGGACAATTTGAGGTATGACTTTCAACTGTGGTAAATGAACCAACATTCCACCGCCGGAATCTATCACGTGACTTTTCTGCGTGACTTTGTCGTATGAGCTATTCATAACACCTGTATATGGTCTGAACAAAATAAAAATGATAATTATATTTATTCATTTATTTATCATGTTTATATATCAGCATAGTAATGTATCACATTTTAAAAGTCGACAAGTGATGTAAGACCCACACATTTGCGTGAAAAAAATCATGAGATATGACAAAAAGATGTTTTAGTAAAACTGAGCAAATATATATTTAAATACTGTAAAATATTTTATTTTTGCTTGGAATTAATTTTCGCTATTTTTGCTAAAGGAATTATCCAGTGAAAATAAAATCCAGCGAATATACTTGTATTCCTATATTTTACATTCAACAAAAAGCCTTTTCAGCGAAAATTAATTCCAGCTAAAATAAAGTATTTTACAGTATACTAAGTGATGAATTCCACGCTTACAAGAGAACAAAATAACAAACAGCTGTAATATGCCAAACCATTCTTTAATTCGACAATCAAATTTTGGACCAAGTACGAGAAAGAGGTTTGTTTAAGTGATTACAACATCCTACCTGTTTGCTTTCTTGTTATCGTCGTAGTCAAAATCAGATACAAAGTCGGATAGTATATCAACGCGATTCTCAAGTGATTCTACAACCGATCCCATAGACCAAGCACAGTCGTTTTCTTTGTTTTTTTCTTTGTCCAATTCGGTGGTGAAAATCAACTGTTGGTATCTTCGACCATGTCGTCCTCTTCTTTTCCTCTTTGACGAGTGTTCTTGTTTTTTCTTCTTGGGTGATTTATGGCGCAATGAAGCAATGCTTTTAGTTCGTGGTGTAGTGGTATTGTCTGGGCATAAGGCAGCCTCACTTCTCGGTGACAGATCGCTTTCATCTTCATTATCGTCAGCAGCATCGTCATCTTCATCTATTAAATACAAATGAAAATTATGGTTAAATGTATATTATTTCATAACATGATAATCATGCAATATCAAGGGAAATCGTAAAAAGTAATGTCAGCTTTCACAAAATAATTCAACAAATGTGAATGATCTTGATATGATTATTATAATATCAAGATCTGTTTTTTGATTATAGAAAAATCAACTAAAATGTTGACGGGGATGTGAAGTATTACAGTATTACAGATGCATATATAATTATTTCTATTATTATACCATTCTCTCATTATTATTATTATTATTGATTGATTGATTGATTGATTGATTAGTGCCACAAGCGGTTGTCTGGTGATAACCGGTAGTGCTTAAGTCAGACAAACTACTGCACAAATACTTAATATTTTAAAATTTTGTGAGATTTAATATCATTAAATTAAAGACTCCATGTGAACGCCAAAACATCCTTGACTGTCTAGACGAAGTGATGGTTTTGCGTCTCCCTTCTTTCCCCAAATTAATAATCACCTGGTGGTAGAGGTTCTTCTTCAGGTTCCTGTGCCGAACTGTCAAGGCCAACAATCTCTTTGATATTGTCCCAGATGAAATCCACAATTTCATAATCATGACTCATCTTCGACTTATCTGCCTGTACCACTGAGTATGCCAGCATAACGGCAGTCACGAATAGATTCAACAGAATCATCATCGACATCATGATAAACGTGAAGAAAAATATTGGACCGAGTATCGGTTGAGCGGCGACCAGTTCAGAATAGTTAAATGCACCGAGTAGCGTCGACAGTAAGGTCTCAATTGTTGAAATGAACGTGCTGTAAGATAATAACAGCCCACTGAAGAGTAGGAATCCTGACTGTCCGAATGCTATGAATGTCACGCCAAACACTATGCAGAAGTTGGCCAGGTCTCTGCGAGCTGCGCCCAGAGTACCAATCATCAGAGCAATGTGGTGGTTCAGACGCATCAGTTTCATAAACTTCAATATGGAGCAAAATACAAGGCTAGCCAGAACCAAGTTGTAGATTTCTTCATATATGGCAGTGGACTGGAGATTGAGGAAAGCTCTTTTTCCTGAAATTAATGAAAAGTAATAGAAATAAGCACACACGTTTAGAAACTTTACACAAACATCGATGTGCGTTTGGCGTTAGTGCACTATATTCCTCAAGTCTAAACTGTGAATTGTATTAGATAAACGAGAAGAATGAACATGTCTCACCTCCTGTTTCCTCAACATGAAGACTGTTAACAGCGATATCACGAGTAGGTATTTTGTATATGAACATAGATATACCGATGAGAGCTAGGATGATTATTGTAATCTATGAAAGAATAAAGACGCATGTATGATACCACGTATGGTAAATTAGGGTACAAGTTTATCGAATAGCCAGATTCACTATTCAATAGTGAACAGCCTTTTTTACCAGTAAAATTATATGTTTGTCGTTTATCAGCTGGATGAATTTTTAACACATGTGGCAGCGATCCCCAAGCTTCATTCTATACACTAGAATTTGACAGTTTTGAAAAGTCTGATAAACTCTTCCACATGTTAGTTGGCAGACACTTTAGAAAGGTAAATAAATATAATGAGCGAATATATACATAATATAATATAATATAAATAGTCGAAATACATTCAGAAAAATAGTAAAAATGAACTCCATCCTTACAACACAATATATTAGGCTGTATTACTTCTGTCATTGTATATTGAACAAAGATGCACACAAATCAAAGATGTGGTTTGAATGTACGACAGTCTAAACAATAGATTACATTTAAAGGGCGGTAGTCGTCGTCGCGCCACGAATGCGTGAGATGTATGGGTCTCATATAAACAGAGATGGCGACTTTGTTTCGCAGATCAACGAGTACAAATTAAGACGTTATCAAGCTTTAATTAGGTAGTTTTAGGTTATTGGAAGGCATCGAAGGAGTCACCAGCGGTAATTAGCGCAAGTCGCGCTCAGATCAAACCACAAACTTGTGATTTCCATTAGAAGAGCGCATTGGATTGTGGGAAAATCAATGTTTATCAACACAAATGTCGCACATGCGCAGCGCGACGACCACCGCCTTTTAACTCTTTGCACGATAATTGTTCTCGCCAAACAATTGGTGCAACGATTTGTAATAATTTGTCCATATTTTTTTAAAAACAATTTAATTCACCAGTGTTTATTTTGCGGAAGGTGTCGGAAGTCGATTGTGTCATTCGATGGATTGAACATACCTCAAGGTAGTTCCAGTAATCTTTAAAATACTTTTTCTTTTCCTTCTTTATTTGACGAACCTCCTCCACTATGAAGAAGATAATATAACAAATAAAGATGACGTCACACGCCATAAGAAATTCGGGGAATGTTCCTCCATACGGATATAATCTGATGACTTCGATTTTCTTCATTGCTACACCGCCCCCAACAGATGGAAATTCGGATATTAGAGTCACCATGCTATTGGACAAAAATAAATAGAGATTCAAATTACCTGTAGGTAGGAACAGTCATGGGTAGTATGCACAAGACCACATAAACAATGTATTGCATAATAAAAATTAGGATATGGTATTTGGACGATTATTTGAACTTCGTGACAATTGATACTGTAACAATGACGGGACTGCACCGCCACCTTCACACCCGTACTTTTTTTTCAGACAGCCCTTCAGACGATTTTCAAGACCTATACATTTCTTCTCGGTCTATATATACTCATCGACTTAGGTTATGAATGGTATGATTGATTTTAACACCAGAGATAACAAGTGCTTTTCAGCAGTTTCGAGTATTTTACTGAGAGCTTAAAATGGGACACCATTTGACGGCACATATATGTACCATCGGATTTGATTAAACATCGCCCAAATCATTACATTTCCGAAACCTGAAACACAAATTTTGACTATAAATATTTACTGGCTTGATAATTGAACTCAACCACGTATGGTCAAAAACAATCAAATCAAATAAATCACCTGAATAGATCAGTCTGTGCGTTATACACAGTCAATTCAAGAATCACCGCTCGGGTACGGATATCCATCCAGTGAGTGGATTCCAGGTAGTCTACCATGCTATATGCTTTCTCTATGGTAGATCCTAACTCTGCTGTGTAGCCCCCACCACTGTACCATGCGATCTGTCCATATAACGACACGCCATCGAGTTCCTCAGCTGTTGCAAACAACCATGGAAGAGCATAAGGGTTGTCCGGTTCGGTGAAAGATTCATTGATTGGGCTCCACGAAGCCCCATACAGTCCCCGATCTTCGGTTTTCTTGACATCATAGTCAACCTCACACTGTTTTACGTATTCATCCATCAATGGTGGTGCATCGCATAGTTCTAGAATGACACAGTTACTGTCTGTGTTAGTTCACTACTGTGCGAGAGGTAATTGTAAATATTTTTATTTATTCAACATATGAAACTATCCACTTGAGTACAGATTGAACACTGCACACATGTATGATGTGACAGAGTCCATTCCATGTTTCATTATTCTATGGTCAAGAACATTTGTGGCGCACACTTTTTCAGAGTACACTTGTAGGGTATTTCATAATGACCGATTTGGTTCCCTTATTTAATTACACAAGTGATTTCTGACAACAACATTGACACATGTTACATTAAATGCCTCTCCTGGAATTCAAATTCATATCCAGTACTAATGAATGTTGTATGCGTCTGTGATAAATCTATTGACATACTTACCTGGCCTGACTCTTAATTGACGCAATCGTGCAGGACCAATGCGATATGTAATGTGATTAGCAAGATAACGCCGTTGTCTCCAGTGAATTCTATCTCCATTGTAGGTTGTGTCAGCATACAGGGAGGGAATAACCGCACCACGAATGTATTCAAGGTAACTGCCGAATCCATTATCAATCTTTGGATAGAAAAATGAGAGATGTAATGTCCAATAATAAACGTAGTATAGAATAGTTTTCGTTGTGTCCAATCCCTAAACTATTGTTCACACAACTGACGACCAACAGTTGACACAAAGTGTTGAATACCCAAAATCAAACAATAGGGAGGGCTCGTTGCGTTTAAACGCCCTGATTCGTGTGAAATATACCAACATATCAGTCTTAGTAAACGGTAATGAAATTGTATGCAGTGTGGTTAATAATTAACATATTTTTAAATATACATATCAAATAAGGTTTGAACAGCTATTCAGAATATTTGTTGCAAATTATCATTAAAATTAATTACTATTCTCACCTTTCCCATCAGCGACGTTTGAAAAAATAAATTATCCATCTCCAAGTATTCGTATCTTGATTTCATATCACGTGCACCGTATGCTATCAACAACAATATAATGATGTACGTGCCATAGACAAACATTTCTTTTAGCACACCCTTCATCTTCACCTCCTTGAACCGTTTGCGGCGTGCTTTTTCCATTTCCTCTGGGCTTAGGGGTGATTCCATCTCTTCCATGCCGTCGTCGACAGGAACGATTCCTACACATAAATTCAAAATCTCAATAACAATGACGCTGTGTCTTATTTAATTGTTATCGTGCCTTTAAATAATTCTCAAACGCTCGGATCAGTCATGGATTTATTGTTGAAACTATTAAAATGAATGATGTACATGTATAGGTGAATTTAGACCATGGATGAAAAGTTGAAAGTTTTATATGTCACAATGTTTTATTTATTTAATATAATACTAGATTAAGCAAGACTTATGTTTATGATTGAAAACCAACAGATATTGAAATGACAGACTGACATATTTAGAGTGAGCAGTGAGCAGTCAGCTTTGTCAATTATTCTAATATAGCCAATCATTTTTATGCCAGTGTAAAACTTTATTTCAGGACTAACAATACTGTGTTGATGATGATGATTTTAAAAACTAGACAAATTGCTTTATTGTAAAATGTTGGGTACTAGACTTATTGGTTTTATGCATAAAAGTTGTTACGTCTATTTAGTATAAATTGCACATGGCCGTTTATGGGAAGTTAAATTGTATAATAAGACCAGAATATGACGCATGGTAAAAACATCACGGGACACCGAAACGCATACAGTGCCAATGATCTTATCTCACATACCTTCATATGCAGATACATCTGTCAACCATTGTTCATCCGGTTTCAGCTGGTTATCTTCAACGTCACCTTCGAGCTCTTCCGGTTTCTTCCATATAAGGGCAACAAACAATGCTAAGAAAATTACCTAGAAAGGAAGGATACGTTATTTCGAATGCAGTAAACTGTCATTGGAACAATTAGCTCTGGACATGGCAGTACATAACACATACCTACACACGTTTTACCTTTTGTAAAATAATTTCTTAATTTCTGGATTGTTTATGTGTAATGTGAACTGAACTACTGTAAAAAATGTTTAAATAGCTACATGCCATTTTAGCAAACTTGACTCCATGCATGCATGAATTAACTGAATCTTATTATATATATAATTTAGCTAAAATGTCAACAATCTCATTGTGAGATTATACTTTATTTTAAATTAGTGACATCTTGAATTAGCGAAATTACAGATTAGCTAAATCAGCTAAAATAACATGCTAGTTAAAAGACATGTTTTACAGTATATTCAATAGAACATATTATTGTCCATATTTGGTCATTTCATTACGACAATGCTACATTCTACCAGACTATAGAGGGATGCAGTGCTTCAGTCTATTTCCAGTGCTCTCCAGCTGTTTGCCAAGCATTGCTACCCACTAGTCTGTGAATGTTAATTTACCATATGTCTTTATCGCATTGGCATGAGCCTACATGAAATTTTGGGATTAAATTCGGTAACGCAAAACCATGCAACTTCTGACATAAAATGAAAAGCACATTAATCCGGGAAGGGATACTTACCCGCGGATTAACACCAACACATGCTATATATGCTCAATAGTTTGCACACACTATCTATAATCCAATATGGCGCCGTGGGTCGTTCATTATTGTAATAGTATTCATGCATGCTAATTATTATGCACGATCATCCAACACTACTTTTGGGCTGGTGAGATCTCTGTTATGTTGCGATTCGTTACCATACATCTTACATACAGGGGCGGATGCAAGCTGTTTGATTAGGAGGGGCGCACCTATACAATAACGTCACTACATTGGACTATGGGATATATGTATATGAGTAGCATTACCTTGATTGGCTGCACAAGGATGAGCGATTCGAAGAATGAAAGAAAGAACGTGATGAGCCATTGAATAGACTTCTCGTTTCCCCATTCCATGCTATACAAGACGGTGAAAAAAGCTGAGCCAGCACTGGAGAGAAACATCAGAAGCCAGGCAAAATAAACACACCAATGGGGCAACATGAACGGCTTCTTCGCGTCTTTCCCATCCTTTTTCTTTGTATCTGGTTTCTTCGCTTCGCTATCAGCGCTGGACGGTCGTGATCTCGGCATCAAAGGATCATTCATGCGTTTTGACGATGACCAGTTCCAGCTGCTATCTAAAGGAGAAGCTGGGCGGCGAGGGCTTGATGTGCCCCTATCGAATTCGAAGTCTGCAGTTGATCCGTAGTCACTATCCCAATCCTCACATGCACCACGTTTATTGCCAGACTCGTCATCTATTACAATGTGGAAAGCAGACAGGGGTCTCTTTTTATCTTTGGTTGCTTTGAACAGTCCCCACTTTTCTTTCTCGACGAGATTATCGGTGCTCGCACTACTTTTAATATATTTCTTGGCTGCCAATTCCTCTTCCTTCAGGTTCGCTTCCTTTGGAGGACTCGTTTTCTTGATGGTTTGTGATTGTGGCGAAATTTCCAAGCTGTGCTTGGCCCGGCTCTTTCGGAACAGTTGTACCAGCAAGATACTTGGTGGTAATACTATCAGGCTGCTGACAACAGATACGTAGAGCTCTTTCAGTGAAAATTGTAGTGGACCTGTTGATAATAATTAAATATATATAATTTTACCTGGTTTT